TCAAAGTTTACATGAACATCATGCTAGCAAGTTACAGCTACTGTCTAGAAGATGCAGAATATGAGCTGCAACTGTCATGCACTTCCCAGGTGTCAAAAAAGGGAAGCAAATAAAAACTGGTATGGCATGGTCCTAGCACAGCTCATCTCTAGCAACAAAATATGTTTTTTTTCTTGCCTATCCCTTCTGAAGGGCCTGTAGTCATCCATTGAGGCACTCCAACCACAAGAATTGTCCCACCACATTTCTGTGATGGCCATTATGTCATGATTTTCCTGCTGCACAAGCACAGCACCCAAGAGTTATTCTATGATTATTTCAACGTGTACAGAGTACCTGCCACAACAGTGTCTCAGACACACTTCTGAAACTTTCTAGGGTAACATTTGTTTATATAGATTGAAAAATTAAGAACTTCTCTTAAAATTTAAGGAAAGCTAGATTTAAGCTGGTGTTATAAATGTCTTTCTCTATGCCTTCCCAACCTATGGACTAATGGAAGCAGGGCACCCCTAGGCAAGTAAGAGGCAATCATGTAATTGTACACTGTATCATAACGTATTCACTGTAAAAGGCAAAATTAAAAATTAATTTACTTTCATGGGAAGAAAAAAGCAAATAATGATGGTGAACATTTTAGAAGCCTGTATGTGTCAAGAACAGAGAATTAAAAGGCTTTTAGCACACGATATTTTGTAACTGGTAAAAGTATCACATTGATATTCTCCACAGTTACCACTCCAGCAATTATTGATAGCTATAATGGAAGTCATGTTAGAAGTAAGGCTCCAGGCACTGAGGCTCAAACTGCTGTCAACAAGGGGAAACGCTACATCTAATGGTAGATTCTCAAACAAACAGCGAGCCTGGCTGGTCTGACGACCCATCACAGAATCATAGAATTTGGGTTTGGGTTGGAAAGGACGTTAAGATCATCTAGTTCCAATCCCCCTGCCATGGACAGGGACACCTCACCCTAGATCATGTCACCCAAGGCTCTGTACAAGCTGGCCTTGAACACTGCCAGGGATGGAGCATTTACCACTTCAAGATTTTACGCTGAACTTCAGTAGGGTTTTCTGTAAATCGTCTGTATATAAATTCTTAATGGGACTTCTGGAACACATTGTTCAGATCTTGTCCTCTTTTACATTCATTTTTTTAATTACTTTTTCTAGTATCTGATGGCATGTAACAAAACCCATATTTAATAACCAGAAGATGTAATTTCAAGCAGGTCTGCTTTAGTACAAACACAAGCATGCTGAGATCTAAGAGGACAACTCTCACAAGAGCTTGTATTCACAATGACCTCAGTTGTTTCAGTTTCAAAATGAAAATAAGATAAAGCTTTTCACTCAGCAGGTTTCTGTTCCTTGCTCTAGTAGGTGATTAATATAAATATCAATAAATAATCATCTGCTTTTATTTTGTTCTTGTAGCTGCAGTAACAAATCAGTTTTCGGTATTATTCAAAGAGTACTTCACAGATGCAGACCTATTTATCAGCAAAGGCTGGGAGCATTCCAATTGCACATTTTGGTTCGTGTTTATTTCCAGTAATAATATTAACTACACTACTTACTAAATTAAATTGCACAAAATTGGAACTAACCTTCTAAAATATGCAATTCCCATATGTAGCCACTGGATGGACTTGCAGAGCCAGTGAATATTTGTTGATTGCAGACAAGAGGCACAAATAGGTGAATGACTGGGAAGAACTTTCCTTTGTGGGCAGTAGGAGAAGTTTTTTGTAGGAAATGCCTGATCCTAAAAAGCATGGTACAAGAAGGGATTTTAGTCTCTCCTCTTCAATTAATCCTTATTTTTCAACATATTAGTTAAGGAAAAATTAGGCTGTGGAAACGAAACAAGCAGAGTGATAAGAAAATCAGTTTGTAGGAGAACATACAGTTCAGTTCCAAATGTGATTATTTGACGTTTTAGGGTAAAAGCACTAAAAATTGTACTGTGAGAAGAAGCTGGAGTGCTTTGATAGCTCAGTTTGCAAACAGAAGCAGATCACAGTTATTTAAAGTTCTGCTTCATTTTTAAAACATGCTACTTTAAAATGCTCATATTCTTTAAGAATAAATTAGGAAAGTATTTGCTTAAGCTATCTTACCTTCTTCTGGAAATAGGAACTATATGAAAGTTTGAATAACCCTGCATAGTAAGTGTAAACCAACCCTGTCTTAAGTAAGAGTATGATCATCCATAAGCATAAAAATTTTATTTCCTTTTATATTACATCTGGCTGTTGCAATTACCTCTGAGTATTTTGCATGTATTATTTTTAACTACAGTGCAATCTATCTAATGCACTCTTTTAGACCAATTACCATTTCAGTGTATATACAGCAGTGATAGAATATGTATGTGATTCAATATCCTGTGTTCTGTTGTGTAGCTAAGAGAAGTAGTACATATCAGTTGTAGCAGGAAAAGTCAGTAAATTCACCTCAAAGAAAGTCCAAGTAGATAGAGCTGCTTTGAGGAGAACCAAGTGAAGCTGGGAAATGAAAGTATACATGTATGAGCCTAGGAGAAAGGAGAGCTGTTGATAAATCAGCCTATCCCTGCTGCTCTAAATCTGTGGACATTGACAGTGAGTAGAATGGCCCCTTCACTCCCTCTGCAGATACACCCAGTTACAGGATCTAAAAGTGGTTTTACCATTTTATCTGCCTGTGCCAAACAGTTTTAAATGGATCCAAACCTTACTATGATTGAGGCTACCCTGCATGCCTGCATTTCTTTTGTCATTGTGAAGGTCATATGCAAAGTCTGTGTAGTAAGTGAAATCCTCTGACTCTGTTTAATTGCATGCAGTAGCCTTACTGGGTGCCTATTGTAGCCAGGATGAATGAGATGCAGTTAAAAACATGTGTGAGCAGGGAAGAAAGGCTGGGTCAGGTTCAGCGCTACTGTTTGTTGCTTTCAGTTCTCTTCTAGAACAAAACATGAAAGGTGATTATAGACATTTCTCAGCGAATGACCTCTTCCCCATCCTAATTCACTTCTTAACCATGCACAGGATAAATGCTCTGGATAAAATGACACCTGCTGAAAAATCACTCTGGAGCTCATCAGCATTTTGTTGCTTTCTACCATATAAATTCCTGTTATTTTTTAGAAATGCGTGCAAAGCCTAATATAGGGCCCAAAACAAACTGACTTAGCAACCACATTTAAAGTTATGCACGCATTTTAACACCATTCTAACTCAGGAGCTGATATCCATGAATTCATTGTTTGTGATGATCACATAAGGCCATGGAATAGGATGGAATGACACCTCTTATAATTACAATGATCATGGTGCCCATCAGCGGGCATTAAATGTGTGCAGTGTGCTTCTAGCATGCCAGGGCTCCATGCCATATGCTGTCCTGCCCTCAGATGGGGGAATACCATCTGGCATAGGAGCCCTACAGTTGCCATTGTAGGCTCCTCTCTCTCCCTCCCCACTCCCCACTGACAATTACAGAACCAGTGATCTTGCAGGAATGAAGTAAGGCTACAAGAATATTGAATGACTGAGTCAGTGACTAGGAATGGGGATAGCAGCTCTAGAGATTGCCTGATAAATATAATTGCCTAAAAGCAAAATTGTGACAAATCAGGTTCTCCTGTACCTCTCACTAGGCAATGAGTTCCCCTCCCTGTTCTCCCCACTACATACAGTGTCATGTCACAGGTGTGTGCCTCCCTGCTAAAATCCTCCCGGAAAACATCATACCTCAGCCAAGAATGCTTCCCCCTGAGAAGCCCCTAAGCACAACGTGCTATTCTTGGCTTGTTCTGACCTCCTTTAATTTCCTGACCTTGTTCTGGAACGAGGTGTTGGTCCAGTTTTAATCATGCCAGACCAACCAAACAGCAGTCTTCTCATTCCATTGCTGATTTAGAAAGCCTTTGCTAAGCTGCTGCATTGGGAATCTTCCACCGTACGGAGATTAGGTCACAGACTTCCTTCCAGGGTAGGTGGCACCATGAGCTGCCAGCTCCAAGCTGGGACAGTAAACTGGGTGGGGCAGCATCCTAATATTACAGAGAACAGTGCAGACAGAGCCTACGGAATTACTAGCACCACTAATCTAACCACCTACATAAGTAAATCAAGTGAATCATCTACCTTACTGGTCTATCAAGCCTCAGACACATATGATACTGGATATATAATGGTAGATTGGCTCACATGAATTCGTTTTTTTGAGTGCTTCTAAATTACATGTTACAATTCAAGCTACTTAAAGACACACGCTCAGTTTGGGAGTGGTCTTCCTCAAGACCTCCTTCAGAAAATCTAAGTAATTTATTATTCTAGGTGAACCACTGAATACAAACCTTTTTATTCCTACAAATAGAATATTTGTCTATAAAGTTCTAAACCCAAGGATTTGTGGGATAATCTCTGTATTCTACTACCATGTCAAACTTTTCAATCTACCCTACTTAGGAAATATGAAGTCTATACCTGTAATGTTTTAATTAAAGCTGTGTCAAGCGATTAGTTGCTAGATCCACAAATGGCAAAGCTGATGCAAAGCTCTGAACCTTTTCACTCACGGATTGTTTGGTAAATAGATGTATTTGCATTGGATGCACAACTAAAATCATTCAAATTAGCAACCAGTCTGGTCCTGTTCCTGTACACCTGAAAGTGCAATAGCAAATCTGCCCTATTACAGCCAAATGACAAATATCAGAAAAAATGTTGCCAAGACTGCCTACTTTGCCTGTGCTGAGGCTTGTGGATTCCCACCTGCCCTGTGCAATCCCGCTGTGTATGTTATATTGCAGCACAGCCTGAGCACAGGTTGGAACACTGTAAGTGTGGGTGTCATATGACATTCCATATGAATTCCCCTTTGACACACAAAACTTTTAGTAGCATATTCTTAAAACGTAGAAAATTGGCTTTGATTTCTTCTAGGGCATTTGTGTGTGCCATTCTGAAGAAGTAATGAGATTACAGTGCTCACATTGCTCAACCCTGACGTCTGAAATGTCTAAACCTCGTGCCAAATTATTTTCTGCATATCCAAAATGCGTGCATGCTGATAGGTATTTCTTATCTCCTGACTTTGCAGTGTGGGTTTCAGATTAGCTTTTTAAAGGCATAAAGACTATCACTATATGTTTCCATGTGTTCTCTAACATATTTCTACTCAATTCTGAGTTTAATTTCTGATACCACGCACACAGCCTTTGCTCCTTGGAAGCAAATATCCATTAAGTATGAAGGAAGAAGGAATTTGAAAGGAAAAATAATATTTGCAATTCCTGAACAAGAGATGAAACAATTGATAAACCTGTCCTTGAGAATACCTGCTTTACTTTGTGTATAATCAAATTCCAAAGCCAGAAGTTGGCAACACCAGACTTCTCTACCCAGTAGCAAATGTGTATCCAGAGCTGACCAATTAAGTTCATAGGCATGCTCAATGAAGGAAGTCCTGATTCAGTGGTAACCCTACCCTTATTTTGCTAGTCTTTAGTGCTTTAAGACTCCTTGTACTACATCCCAGTGCCTGACTTTGATCCTCACTGCTTTATAATGAGGTATGTTTTTTCGGAATTGGTTCTTTATTTAAACTTATGAAAATGAGATACAAGATGTGTGAGCGTGTTACACAGCGTACTTTTCACTCAGAAATTTAAGTCTCACATTGCTTGCTAATGTGCAGCTTGCATGCCACAAATCCAACCCTAATGAGGGAATAGGTTCCTTCAAAAGGAGTGGGTATACTAAAGCAGGGTATTAATTTCATGCACCGATATGCATGGGTATGTACCAAGAGGCATACTAATTCCATCTACCAGCATGCCTTTTCCCTATCCACAATTCAGAGCCTCTGGATGAGCTCACAGCTAATGGTGACTGAAAATCAGAGGAATAATCTTTATACATCCCCTTGAGACAAAAATTGATTGAAATGGATGCTACAATTACATAGGAAGCTCTATATTTATGTGAGTGTTAATTAAAGAGGAATACAGTGGTCTAGCATAAACTACAAAACTCAAGAATACTAACAGAACAGAGAAGTACACTGTGATCTTTTTCACAATAAGATGTTCTTGCATTAAGAAGTTCAGTGATTTCTAAATATAGCAATATTCTGCAGCAGCACTACTCAGATAAACTGGAGTGGCAATGCTATTTCAGTTAAAAATAGAAAAATGCTTCTCCCAGCAATACCTAAAGACTGGCTGTGGTTTCACAAGGAGTTAAGGCAATATAAGCTTGCACAGTCAAGGAAAGCAGCTGTCCTGGTCTCTCCTCCATATCTGTAAGTTTCTGCTCTCTTGTAAGTGCACTATGCTGTAAAACACCACAATGCCAGCATATAGCCACTCAGTTCTCTGAACAGAGCTACCTTACGTGTGGCCAGCTCAGAGAACACTCAAACTCAGTAACAATTTGTACAGAGCTCTTAGGTAGCATTTAGCTTAGATATTAACGAGGTGTGAGTGAGTCTGGAATCCAGAGATCCATTTTCATTTAAGCTCCTGACACAGTGGATGCCTGCATGCCTCAAATGAAATCCAGACAAACTAGTGAGCTGATGAAGAAGTCGCCTGAAACCGCTGTCTTAGGGAAGCACTTGCCTACAGTGGCTCAAAAGGGAAATCCCAGTGCAGAGCTGCAGGTGCTCTGTTCCATCTACTTGTGTGTCATCATGCAGAATTTCCAGGGGGAGGTCAGGACAGATCTGCTGTGACCTCACAGGGGAGAACACCACAGTGGCAATACTCGCATTTACAAAATGATATTAGTCCTTGGAAATTTTGCCTAATTCTTTCCTTGGCCAAAGGCAGTTAAACGCAAATGTCACTGAGGTGTGTTCTGTTCATCAGGGTAATGCTCTGCTCTTGGAATGGTCAGGCACTTGCAGTACTTGAAGTTTCCCTTCTTGAAGAGAAAAGTGAGTGTCAGGATCATTGGGCAAGACAGGGAACATGACACTAATCCTTTAATGTAAAAATAAATGAACACATTTTAATAGTGAGATGACCAGTTGTAGGTATGGGAAACAGCTCTGCATCTGAATGCAGGGGAGAGTTTTGTGAACTGCTAGCTAGTGTCAATTAAAAACAATACAAAAAACCCAACACAAACCACAGCTTTGTCTTATAAAACTTGAAGAGCCTGGTCTTTTTACATGCATCCACATGGAAGCTGTGTGTGTCACACGTGGGTTTATTTTATCAAGCCTGCATTTTCTACTGCAAGGTAGTACTCATACCTACCTCCATCTACATGAAGTTATGTGAATAATGATGAACAATGACAGATATTTCTAAACTGTAGCTTATCTGACTGTATTTTCACTGTCTCAGCCAGAATGCCTCCAGGGCAAACTCCAGAGCTGCACACTGTAGCACCACCTATCAGACTTCTTGAAAAGATACAGATGTATCACCCTTCCCATTTTTTGATGGCTCTTTCCTGAATTATACAGGAGTGATGAGGCTACAGAGCAATTTCTGATTCTTTCCCCCTCTTTTGGGCTGCAATGATTGCCTTTCATTTTTACGATGCTTCTAATTGCTAGTACCAAGGAGCACAAAATACATATTGATGTTACAAAGACTGTAAACAAGGAGACTACTTGAAATCCTGTATCATGGGCCTTCTGAAATCTTTCCACATACATCATATCCAGAACATTCATCCTCAGCCTTAACACCAGTTAAAGCAACCTGAAGACTATTTCAGATTGGACTGTCCTGCTAAACCAGTATCACTGCTGCTCTTTACTTAAGAGTCTTTTTATGAGTTGCCAGTCAGGTCACACAAATTCTCAGTTCAAAGAGCAGGACAATCAGCTACCATGACCTCACATTTCCACAGAAGCTCTCACATCAACACAGAACACCTCACTTACATGAATTCCCAAGTGCAAATCAATCGAGCGGATAAAGAAGAAAACAGGTAGTTAGCCACAAACTTTGCTGATCACCAAATTTGTATTGAAAAGACAATCATAAACTGCCTGTTCTAGTTAAAGACTGCATTCAGTAATAAAGCTTTGTTTCCTTTTGTTTTGGAGAATGAAGATCAGTTGCAATATGTTATTTCTAATCTACTTTCACAACACAGAGTAAGCAAATATTTGAACAGGGAGACAAGGCTTTATCAGCTGCTCTTTGAAGCAGTCTATGAAGAAGGAATTGCAGCTGCCATCGTGAGGTAACACCTGTATTCCTGGCTGTAAAATGTCTGAAATTCAATCAGATTTGAACTTTGCAGGGTGTTTGCATACATGGGTCAGTTCACAGCTCTCTGCTCTCTGGACAAACCAAGACAGCATGGCTTGTTCCTCCCCTTTGAAGTTAGAAGGGATACTTTCTTTCTGAACAAGCACAGCTTTTCTCCTATCTTCTTACCAAAATTAGCAGTCAAAAAAATGGACAGTTTGGGACTCTGCATTTGATAACTGATTACAGCCATAAATAGCTACCAGGCCTGATGCAGTTCTGCTGTATTTAATGACTTAATTTGTGTATTTCAGAGTACTCCATCTTAAATATACACTTACAGCCAACCCATCAGGATCAGAAGAATAAACCAGACAGCAAACATCCCAAATTTAGCAGCTATAATTAAAGCACAAGTCAGGACACTGCAAATTGTTTGCCATATCGGAGAGACATTTTACAGGTCTGAGAAAGAAACAGACTGCTTAGAGTGGCCAGGTGGCTGGGAAGCACTATAGCACCCTAAGAACAACTGAGAGGATTTTAATGATACTGCAGCATCTTAGAACACAAAGGATGTGTCATCTAAAATAATTTGCTCTAGCTGGCTATGAGGAAGTGAATGGGGTGTTTTCTTCTGAATCTGCTGCTCTTGCAAGAGCCTCTTTCTGATTGTTCGTAGGCAAGAACGGTTTGTAAATGTTCTTGCCCTGAACAACCTTTTTGTGAAAAATGTACAGTGGCTTTTCTAAAATCAAGAGCAGAGGACAAAGGGTGGGTACCACAGTGAAAGTATTTAATTTACAAACTCTAGTTGGGCTTCATTTTGCAAGTGTAATTATCAAAATGTGCTAGGAGCCTACTAGAGGAAACAGCTTTTTTTAGTATTAGATCAAATTCTCTCCCTTAATTCTTTTACTGAAAAGAAGAGGGATTTTTCTCTTCTTTTTGTGTGTGCAGCCTTTAATTAGTTTGTTCAGACACAAACAGTATAAGACAGAGTCTGTCACGATTACCCACATTTAGTAGCTAATTACTCCTTGAATAGTCTTAAGGCTACCAGCAATTTCAGTGCAGTTGGCAGCCTGGGGCCCCTAGGAGCTGTTCCAGCAGCCAAGAATAGCTGGAATAGAGAAACGGGCCAGCCACGACCCTTTCTCCTCAGCCACAACCTAACAGACCTACTATGCCAAAGGCAAGAGCAACACAGAAGTGAAAATATTCCTAAGTGGCTAAATGTGCTCTCTTTATAGCCTTTTTAAACTAATGGAATAACATAAAGGGACTATGGGGAAATGGAAAATAGGACCTTTCAAGTGCCAGAATATTGGCAGGACTACTAAGGATTTTTCAGTTTTGTGATGTTGCATTAAAACAGTACAAACCACTTATACTATGGGATGGGATTCTGACACAAGACTTTTATTCTAGTGTGATTTTATTCACTGATGGCTCATATTGCAGTAGTTTACATCACTGCAATAAGACTGTCAAGTGGGTATAAAATGCTGAATTGATTTAGTGACATTTTATATGTACTTTATGCAGGTAGAAATTACTTCACAAGGGACATGGCAGGGGCTGTGATTTCAGTAAAATGATTCCTGCTGTATGCTTGTGTGACATCAGTGGCAGACTAAAATTAACATAAAAATTTAAAGGAGAATGTCAGTTTTAAATGCACTGGTAATTCAGTTCCTATTCCACAAGCCCAAAGAGAGTTGCTTTGTAAATTCAGCAATACTGGGTTACCAAAGAGCAAGGGCAACACCCTCACTTTAGCTCATTACCTCTGCTTTTCCTAGTCCCTTCAATTTAGATCATTGTTCCCACCAAAAAACCTCAAACATTATCAGTTATCTATCAGATTATCAAAGGGAACTGACTCTTCCTGCATTGCATGACTATCTGATGTGGTACAAGAGAAGAAGTGCTGGCACTTGATGCACACAAGTCTAGGGGAAGAGTAGAGTCAGCTCTTTCTGCTTGGCTGCCCGTTGTTACTCTGGATTAAGTGCATAGTAAAAGTACACCTCATTCAATGCCACTCTGTAAACTCTTTTCTACTGAACTGTGGAGATCATGCAAATTGACAGAGATGTTGCAAGATTATTAGTCCTCAAGCCAGTAGGTATCCAAAGTGCAGAGTTGGCAACTAGGTTCTTTTAATTTAACCTTAGTTTATCACTGCTGGTGAGCAAAACTTGTATGAGTGTACTCATTGCTGGGGTTGAGTACAGAACAGGCACTGGACACTGAGCAACAGCAGTAGCTCAGCTCAGCTGTCAGCAACACCACAAAGCTGTAAGTCTGAAGACACATTTCCTGTGGCAGCAATACTGACTTAAGATACTTCCAACTATTTTTCCTTCCTTT